TTCCTGAACTGCAGCTCCCATGATATCTGGTGGGGGCATTTCCATTTCAGTTTTCAGTCAAAAATATTCCAATACAATTGGGGGGGGGGGGCCCAAATACAACATTTTCCATGGAATTCCTCCCCTCTTCTCTTATGGATGTCCTCAAGAACCAGGTAGCCAGCCTGCTCCTTGTTTTCATGTACGTTATAAATGTAAATGTTTCATGTACGTTTCATGTACGTTATGACCACTCCTCTAAGAGTGGTCATAACGTACAACCTTGGTGCTGCTCACATAAGAGCTGTTAACTGGCAGGCTGCCATCTGCTTGCTATATGGTTACAGTGCGGGAAATGTGTCGCTCTTGACCTTTTTCCTTCTTTCTGTTCTACACAAGCAAATACACCGGGTTAATGCAGGGAAACATTATTTCCTTGTCTGTGTTTTGTTAAGACTGCCTTTAAATCTACTGGAAATCCTAAACACTCTGGGCTGCTTTCTGACAAAAAAAAGGCCAGGGATTAATCTGCACTAGTCTGTGGCCAGCGTAGAAACAAAATGAAGCCATTTGTTGACAAGTACAGAGCAAGGGTTTGGAAGACACAGGGTGGGTTTTTGTGCATTTTAATGGGCATTAGCCTATTTTAATGTGCATTAAGAGTCACTTATAACTGTGCTCTTTAGCTAATGCACATTAAAATGGTCTAATGTGCATTTTCCTAATACCTCATAATGGAGGGCACTTTTACATGTACGCTGGGGGTGGGAGGGAGTCGCTTTAATTAAAGTGCTGCCACGTCTCCTGTATGAGCATCCTTGTGCTTGAAAATGGCAGCAGGGGTGCTTGAACTAAAGCTTGTTCAGTGAACTTTAGTTCAAGCGCCCCTGCCACCGTTTTTAAGCACAGGGACTGATACACGAGACACAGGAGGCCGCTGGAGCACAGCAATTGCCACGCTCCAGTAGACTTGATTAACTGAGCCTGCTCTGATGTGCTGGAACTCCAGCACATTGGAGCAGCCTCCACACTCATGTATAGACACCTGGAGTACTAGATTTAATGTGCATTAACAAAAGCACGTTAATTTACGTGTAATGTGCCCACAGGGTGTCAGAGATAGACGATTGTTTTCTTTCAAATGGTTCCTACTGGCCAGTGAATCTGAATGTCCATAGGGATGGGAAAAGACAGCTTTATACCTCATATGTGAGGAAGGAACAGGCAGATGGGTGAAGATCAATGAAGGATAGAACCTGGGTTAGTGAAGTTGTATCCTAGGAAGGACTGCCTGGGAACAACATCCAGGCTCTGGGATTGGTATGGGGACAAAGAGCTTTTGTTGCCAGTCCAAATCTACCTTAGTCAATAGTAACCTAAAGTTGTTATCTGTCTGCTGATGTATGCAAAATAAATCGGGTGGGTTTCAGACCAGTTTCTAGTAGACAGATGGGCCTTGCCACACTGGACGCTTACCAAGTGTTTTATGTAGGTCGTAGTACACATTACCAGAAGTTAGAACATGTGCTCAGTAGTTACATGGTAATGCTCACTATGATCTTCTACCCCATATGCTTCATAGGCAACTCTGGCAAGCTGGGTCTCTGCTGCTGGTGGTGGGTGGACAGAGGTATGAGGAGCTGAGCCCAGAAGAGCGTGCCACCTTTGCTGCTGGATCCTGGTGGTGCTCCAGTATTGAAGCTGGTTCGAGACTCTGGTGTGGTCCATGGGCTGAGACCCACAATCAGCTGATTGTGGGTCTCAGCCCTATGGCTGCACTGGGAGCTGGTTTGAGTCAATCAGCAGATAGTGGGTTCCAACCTCAGGACCATAAGTTGTTCATATTATTTCCAAGGAGCAGTCAGACAATAGCAGAACATGTTACTTAATATGATCTGGAGATACTCTTCCTGCGAAAAGTCCCAATTTTACTACATGTTTGCACTTGGCAAGTGTTTTACTGCTTAAATGCAGATGCTCCCATTTTAAGTGCATTAACACATCCTAAATGTAGTGTGGGACAAGGCCCAGAGGTCTTCAGCACAAGCCATGTGTGACACAAAGGGCACATATTATGTTGGCAGGGTCACCAAGGAAGTCACAGAGAAGAATGGGGCCATTCACACCTCTCAGACCTATTGTCAGAGCTGAGTCGGTTCTCAGACTCTCTGCAGACACAGGCTGATACACCCTTTGGTTCACCATTTTCAAGCTTCTCCTTGAAACCACAGAGGTTGAAAAGTGCTTGCTTTTTGAAAAGGAAGTTGAATTCTGATGAAATCCCTTGGCTCCAGGGTAGAAGGCTGTCAGCAAGGGTCTGTTGTGTTTAATACCTTAATCCAGCCCTGGCCACAGCTGTCATTTATAAACTGTATGAGAGTAGGTCCAAGTGCTGGGCAGGTCCCCAACTGAATGGTTGTGATGCGCTGAGATCCGCAGACAGGAAGTAAAACATGTTGCTAATCAGAGTCATTATTTAGTACAGAATTAATATTCATAAGTTTGCAAGAAAATAGGATAATGGAGAAGTACAGAGTCAGTGACTCCAGGGGCAGAAGCAGCTAAGAAACCATTGGAAAGCTTTTTCTTTTTCCAGGCCAGCGGTCTTAATATGGGAAGAATATATGACAGCAAGGCCCCCGAAGCCTCCAAGCTGAAACGACAACTGCCCTTACATGAGCAGCTTCCTTGGATGTTGGACATAGTGGCTTTGGTGAGTTGGAAGCACTGAGTTTTTTCCCAGTGGGCTCTGGGGCCACTGTTCCATCTGCCAGCCCTGCAGGTTTCCTGAGAGCTGCTCCAGTCTGGCTAGCACAGCATGGCTCAGGCCCATGCTGCTGCTTGCTGAGAGGTTCAGTTTGATTTGACTTTATCAGTAAGCAGAGTTCAGCAGTCAAACAAGGCAGCTGCTGGAGACTCCATGGGGGAAAATGCACGGTAATAAGGCAGGGGAGTCATGCGGTGCACTGAGCTATGCACACACATTCTTACAGAAATCTGTGTGTTCACATGAACAAACCAAGCCATTCATACAAATATGCATGCTCCCAGAGATAACAAGCTATGCTCATACATGCATACATACACGAACATTGAGCAATGCATGCATATATGCACACAAAGCTCTATAGACAGCTGGTGCTATGGTGTCTACAAGATCTTCTGCCTGGCTTGAGACTAATCTGACTAACTACCTAACTGCTCATGGACGATATGTGCTCACATACATAATGAACTACATGCATACATAGATGTATGAGGATACACATACATGTGCACAGTTACACATGCACACAAGCATTTACACACATGGATCTGTGTGCTCACACACTGAATTCTTCATGCACACATATATGTATACACATGGACTGAGCTCTGAATGCACTTGTACACACATACCTTTATTGAGCTATGCACATGGTCATGCACAGGTGCAAAAGTGCATGCATGCACTGAATTATACATACACACAGGCACACGCTCACAGTGACCTATGTGGTTCTGCATGTGTGTGTGCATATGTGCATGCATGCACGCACACACACAATACACAGAGCTGTATCTGTATACAGGTCCTCATGCACGCACACCCAGGCCAGCCCTTACTGACGCACATGCACAAACAACCCCCCTGGCTCCTTGATAAAGCTGGCATCCATCAAGTGATTGTTTCCACTGAGTGTGTGTGTAGCCTAAGGCTCAGGCTGACCCCTTGGTCACTGCCACACATCATGCCGAAGTGACGTTGATTGCCCTGCTGCAATTGGACCTGTCTCCATGATAAATGAGGCCAGGCAGCCCCCTCCTTCCAT